CGCTCTTAAATCAGTATTTCATAAATAACAGTTGTCTGTGCAGCAGGTTCTGGATCCACCTTTTTGCGTAGGTAATGTTGAACATACTGTGGTCACTGCTAGAATTCAGTCATAATCTTCACGGTACATGAATTACCTGGAGCAGCTATTTGGGAAAACGTACATACTGCTCAGATCATACACACAGAAGACTGTTTGAGCTCAAGTTACAATTTAATTTCTTTGTAGACTTTGATCAATGATGCATCTTAGCTTTTATCCATCATGTCTGAAAACTATTATCTTATTTATTAGGAGTGATTTAGTGGGTTAATAAAACTGATATGGCAGCTGGCCCTGTGATAACAAGTTATTGCAAGTCCCTGAACAGCTTAAGCCTATCATTTCCTTATCAGCTATCATTTGTGACAGTGTATGCCAAAATCAAGGCTACTAGCTACATAGGAACATATGTTATAACAAACCACTGAAATTAAAAGGGAAAGGCAGTTCAGTTTGATTTTTAATAGGTTTGTTAAGAAAATTGAGAGTAAGTTCCTTATGCTGACTGTTTTCATTTTCTTGATTATACAGTAGAAGTGTAACATAGTGAAACACATACATACTGTATGTACACTTAGAAATATGCATACGAAAAGACAGAAAGAGATTACTTGAAGTTGCAGGTTAAAGATGTTATCATGTATCTGGGATGGGTATGCTACTCTCAACATGGAGTCAAAAATAAGCTATTTAGCTAATGACTTTGTCTTGTAAGAGAATAAAAATCTTTATATTTGTTACTCTATGAAGTATTCCAGACAGAGTTTGATAAGTACAGATTACAATTTTTTTAATTGCTTCTGTGCCATGACTGGAAAACTCTGATTTTTAAAACTAAATATTTAATTACACAAATCACTGAATGAAATTAGAATGATAACTGCTATGCCTTTATGACACACTGAATAGGTACTGTTCAGTGAAAATATCTATTCTCCATATAACAAAATGTGGCAATGGTAAATTCTGCTATCTCAGGGCATTCCAGAGCAAGGACAAGTATTTTTGCCTACCACTGGTAACCTGAGAATCCAAGTAATACAACTGTTCCCATTTCTAGCCCAAATATGTTAATATTGAGTTAGATGTTGAATAATCTAGATATTGAATTGTAACTTCGTAGTGAAATAATGCTTTTCCTTAGCCCAGTTGGACGTGGTTCAGTCCAACTTTAACAGGAGGAAATTCCAAATAGGTGGTGAAAGTGTGAAGTTTTATTTTTAGAATTTAAAAAATGGCATGTGGTTGAAACTGGGAAATTTAGGGTGTTGAAAGGAGATGTAGGCAACTGCTTGCCTATATGGCCAGTGACAAATGTGCAGATAACATTGTTAAAGAAACAATTACAGCTCCATTTTGTTTTTCATCCTGTTCAATACACAGCCTTTGCAATGTCAAGACTAAGTACATGCTGTTATTTCAAAGAATACAGATTCTTTGTTATTTCAAAGAATACAGATGTACATGTATATTTTCAATACCTCTTGTATCAAATCTAAAATTACTTCATTTTCATGAAAGAAAAAAATGTTCATGGCTTTAGCATTTGTGTCAGAACTCTGTCAAATACTAGGAATCTCCAGGTCTTTGGCCCAGATCTATCTGTTTAAAACTCTCAGATCAAAAGCAGTGGTTGAAAACCTTCAGGACTTTAATTCACAACATAGGTAATACAGTACTGTATGTGAAACGGAGGACAACTGTCTAGCTTTATGACAGTTAGTGAGAGGTCCCATTGGCATCCTAAAGAACATTGAGGTGCCACTTCATTTTGATCAGCCAACTCTGACTTGAATGGATAAAAAAGGAACTGTTATGAGCAGATGGTTCTGTATCTGAGCTTCTGAATATTAATAGGTATTTAAATATGGTCAGGTCACCACATCACTGTTCCTCAGAAAAATACACTTAGGAGGCAAGAAAGCTAACAGTAAATAAATGTGAGAAACTTTCGGCCTTCCTATGGGTCGTCAGGAACCACTGTGATCTAGTGATATTATGTAGACTCATCAGTTTCAAAAAGTAAAAGCTATGATGTTTGACAGCAGCCACTTTCTGTCACATTTCTTGGCTGTAAAATCCTGAGTGCATGCAACAGACTGTCTAGAAGGAGAATGACTATTTCAGCTGAGATTTTCAAAGCTACCTAGCCTAAGCAAGTATATCACTCTAATGAACATTTTCTTAAATATTTTTATCTAATGCCTTTAGTCAGCTTTGTAAATATAAAGCATTTTGAGGTTTGTTCTTATGTGTGACTGTCCCATACAAGAACAAACTGTAAGGTTATGATTTTTTTTTCTAATGGGCATTACCAGGAACAGCTGAGATGAGATGAAAACTTTTGTTATGTGTTCTTTGCTGGGGCCTTTGTGTCTTGAGAGTGCATTTCAAGTTTTAGTGAAATTAGTGCAATGTATTGCCAAGTGTTACCTCTGTGTTAGGCTTGGTTTACATGCAATGTACTTGAACTACAGGTGGTACTTTGAGGCAGTTCAGTTAAACCAGCTCCCATGGTGCTTTCAAGTTAACATTAGTAAAAACCAAATTATCTTGAGTATATTGTCCATAAATTTCTTAGACAACTTTGGTTTAGCACAATCAGTTTTAAAATCTATTGAATGGAATTCATAAGACAGGGCCTATCACCTTTGATAGATGAACTCAAGCAAACTTTGCTATGACTGGTAAAGAAATAGCTGCCCTCAATTTGCTCTCCTGCCCTTCTCCTGAAGGTCACTTCTTCTGTAGGAAAATCAGTGGAAAGCAATGTGTCTATTGCATAGCCAGTTTTCTTAGTGCCAACCCACCCTCTTTAGTGTCTTTGGTTAAGGTGTTGGGGCCAGCACTGCAGAGGCTGAGCAATGGACACGTTTTCTTCTTCAAGCTCTGTTTGGGAGCAGTAATCTCCGAGAGAGCAGCAAGGGAGACAAATGTGTATCAGAACTGCTTAAGCAGCTAAGTAATTCAGCAGAGTTGGTCAGCCTACAACCTGAGAGAAGAACGAATGAATAGCGTGTTAGCATTTTTAGTCATAGGAGGCTGAATACTAATTTATAGGGTACAGTGGTGAGTTATTTTCAACTGAAGAGTGCTTTGTGGGACTGTCTAAATATAACACTGGTAAGCTTGATAAAATAAACCTGGTAGATCAAACCCAGCACCCTTTCAACAAACAAAGTAAAATGAAAGAGAATGCACATTAGGGAAAAAAGATGTAACATGTTTCTGGGAGATTTTCTGTTCCAGCTATGTTCTTGTAAGAGAGAAAGTGTTTTAAATTTAAAGAAAATCCTAGCCTTGAATTTTGGATCAGATCATAACAATACTGTTTTCTACGAGACCAGATTTTGTTTCATCCATGTCAGTGAAAGGAATTGGTAGACACTGTTAAGAAAAGTTTTCAGAAAGCATTGAAAATCAGTTTGTCAGTTTGCTTTACTTGAGATGTCACTCATAAACACCATTCTTTTTTTTTTCCCCCCACAGGTATCACTATTATGGAATTGGCATTAAAGAAAGCAGTGCATACTACCACTCTGTGTATTCTGGAAAAGGCTTAACGAGGTACAATAACATAACTTCTGAGACTTAGTGAAAGTCTAACTTCAACTTTCCCATAGGAAAGTATTTGTGGGGTGCTAATTTTTGTTGATATCAGAACTAATATTGCTGCATATCTCAACGTTTGGCATTCCTAGATTTAAGTAGCAGTTTGCTACCTAAAGACATTGATTTTATTTTAAGAGGTTGATCTAGATCTTTTGCTAGTGTCTTCCAGTATGGCCCTATTGCAGTCAGTGTAGAGCCGCATCAACTTATACCAGCAGAGGATTTGTTCAAGTTTGTGTAAGGCAACAAAACACCATTTCCAGAACACTTGTCTCATTTTGTTTGCTTGTGTGTCACCTTTCTTTCCCCAGGACAGCTTCCCATTATGAAATGTCTGGAGAATGGTGTGAAGCTGGCACCTGTGGGCAGAAGGGAGGGGCCAGTGTAGATTAATATTTACAGGTCCTTTGACTGCCTAATATCAGTTTAAACCTAACCCAGGAAGCTCTAATTATATTTATTTAAGGGACAGCTAGCAGGATCAATACGTTACGATAGCAGCCTGTTGGTTTGCCAAAGATTAATAGTTCGTAAAACAAATGTCTCTGTTCACATATGGCTTGAATGATGGCTTTCATTGTCTACGGCAGTATAACTGTATAAGTGGGGACTCTGAGAAAGGAAAGGAATAAATGAGTTTATAATCACACATAGCAAATTCAGCTGCTGGCAGATTTAGGTTATGTCCAAAGAGCCTTTTTTCGAACAATAGGAGAAATGTAAAAATTGAAGGTAATGTTGCCAATGATGCTTAAAAGGAGGGATTCTCCACTGAAGGACTTAAGGTATAATAGACTGGAATATTTATTCCATTTCCTTATTCAGTATTTATCCCAAGCTGCAGAGATGTTGTTGGTACACAGTGAAATGAGGTTCTTTCATAATACAGAATTATCTTGAACAAATTGCTGATTTAATTGACTAAAAGACAGTGATTTTCATTCAAGGGAATATAAACACTCTTAGTCTTCAGCCTTATGTCAGCCAGTACCCTTTTCAGGCAAAGCTCTGTCCTTGCACAGTCTAGCAACAATGAATGCAAAGAAAGTGGAAGTTCTGCAAAATTCCCAATGGCTAGATTTCTAATGGTATATAGTCACATAAAGATGGCATAGATACTCTCTAAAATTTTCACAAGTACTCACTAAATTAGCTAGATTCACTAGTTAGGAAACTTCTTTGTTTCTTTATGTTAAGACTTGTGCTCTTCTTATGATGAGCAGCTGAAGGAGCTGAGTCTCTTTAGCTTCTCAGTGACAGCCAATGATAGGACAAGGGGCAATGGGTGCAAGCTGGAGCATAGGAGGTTAAACCTGAACATAAGGAAAAACTTTTTTACTGTGAGGGTGACAGAGCACTGGGCCAGGCTGCCCAGAGAGGTTGTGGAGTCTCCTTCTCTGGAGACATTCAAGACCCACCTGGATGCATTCCTGTGTGACCCAGTCTAGGTGATCCTGCTCTGGCAGCGGGGTTGGACTGGATGATCTTTTGAGGTCCCTTCCAACTCCTAATAGTCTGTGATTCTGTAGCAGTTGTTGAATTTCGGTGTAAAGCAGTCAAATTGCTGATTTAGAACAGAAGCTCAAGTGCTAACTGCACAGTCTGGGCCATCATTGTGGGTGGATTTGTCTGTGTGAAGAGAATTATGCAATCACCTGGGGTTAAGAACAAGTTTCTCAGTAAGGAAAGAGTTAGACATTGTAGGGAATAAAAATTAACAGTGCTGGCTGTCCAGTCCCAGTTGCTGGCTGCTGAACATAATGATCCATCTTAAAATTTGTCCTTTGTCTGATGTCTGTTCTAGGGGGTCAGCTATAAAATGGTTCCTGCATCAAGCCTGGGATAAAAATAGGCAGGGAAAATATATGGATTGATAACAATATCAGATCATAGAATCATAGAATACCACGTTGGAAAGGACCTCAAGTATCATTTGGTCCAACCTTTTTTGGCAAAAGCATGGTCTAGACAAGATGGCCCAGTACCCTGTCCAGCTGAATCTTAAAAGTGTCCAATGTTGGGGAATCCACTGCTTCCTGAGGGAGATAATTCCAACGTCTGATTGGTCTCATTGTGAAAAGTTTTCCTATAGTGTCTAGTTGGAATCTCCCCAGGAGTAACTTGTACCCATTAGCCCTTGCCTTTTCCATGGGAGTCCTTGTAAAAAGGGAGTCTCTGTCTTCTTTGTAGTTATCCTTCAAATACTGGAACATAATGACAAGATCTCCCCTAAGCCTTGTTTTCTCAAGGCTGACCAAACCCAGTTCTCTCAGCCTTTCCTCATGTGGTAGGCTTCCCAGTCCTTGGGTCATCTTTGTGGCCGTTCTCTGGACCCTCTCCAGGCTGTCCACAACTTTTTTGTATAGCAGGGACCAAAACTGAACACAGTATTCCATGTGTGGCCTGAAAAGTGCTGAGTAGAGTGGGACAATGACTTCTCTGTCTCTGTTGGTGATGCTCTTGTTGATGCAACTCAGCATCCTGTTGGCTTTCTTTGCTGCAGCAGCACACTGTTCACTCATATTGAGCTTCTTGTCTACCAGGACCCCCAGATCCCTTTCCACAGAGCTGCTCCCCAGCTGGGTAGATCCCAGCCTGTGCTGCACTCTGGATTATGCTTTGCCAGGTGTGAGTCTACATTTGTCTTTGTTGAACTTCATAAGGTTCTTGTTAGCCCACCCTTCCAGCCTATCCAGGTCTTCCTGCAATGGGGCTCTCCCTTCTGACGTGCCCACTTGCCCACTCAGTTTGGTATCATTGACAAATGTCATCAGGGTATACTTGATCCCATCCCCAACAAATCCCTGGAGGACCCCACTTGTGACAGGTTGCTAGTTTGTAAAGGAGCTATTTACCACTACCCTCTGGGTATGACCTGTCAGCCAGTTCCCCACCCACCACACGAACCTCTTGTCTAGACCATAAGACACCAGTTTCTCTAGGAGGATGCTGTGGGAAACCATATAGAAAGCCTTGGAGAAATCCAGATAGACAACGTCACAGCATGACCATGCAGAAATACAGCCATATGAACATCTTTACCACAAGTCTTGCATGTTAGATGGCAGCTGGTCAAAAGGTTAGAAGGGCAGTGGGCCTTAGTTTACTTGCCTAAATATAGGCCTCTCCTGTAATTTGAAATTTAATTGGCATTCATGTATTAATATTTGGGTAATTGAGCTGAGTACAATAGTCCTCAAATACAGAGTAGTAGATGCCTGAATCCCTAAATTCCATTGTAAATTTGACCTCACAATTCCTTTAAATATCAAACCTTGCACTGTGAAAGGAGTACATCTAACACCAAAATCATCAGTATGCACAGCACTGTGTGAAGGATACCTTTAGCTAGCGATGAAGACTCTAGAGGAGCAATGCTAGCAGATGCTGCCTTGCGTTTCTGCTGTACATTATGTGTACATTTAGCTACACACATGGAAGTCCACAGTCTATAACAAATACGTCCAGCTATGAAGCTAATTAGCGCCATGTTGTAATAAACTGAATGATGCCTTTTTTCATACTCATCTATCTACCAAGGGGACTCTGCAGGTAACATGCTGGATCATCACGTGATGGGAATTGTCAGGCGCTGTGCCTGGCCTGGGCAGGAGGAATTCCACAACTGCTCAGCCTCTGGTTTTCTGTCCTGCCAGCAGAGCATCTCAACAGCATGAAATCACAATATTGCCACTAATAATAATAATACTTCATGTTGTTCACAGTATCTTATCAGCTGTCAGCGAGCAGAACATGAAATAACAATAATCAAACAACATTTATCATTATACTGATCCATTAGAATCTCTATCATTACACATTCTCTAGTAGTTATAATTTAAAATGTGTGCTTTCTAATTTCTACAGTGAAGAATTGCATGGTAGTCCAATGATTTCATTGGGAATCTCTCAATTGGACTCTTAAGAGGATATTCACTATACTGCAACACATTTTTGGCAATTAATGAATTTTTAATCCCAGAAATGCATTTCACCTGCATCAGGATAATACTGTGGTAAAAAAGAATGGAAAATGACAATGATTTCTTCATTTTCCTGAGAAGTGTAAATTCTAGATATATTTTTTTCTACTCTTAATTTACTCAACTGTGTCAAAAACTGTATATAGTAAAGACCTAGTAAAAACCTTACGGACTTCAACTGATGCTGCTCTTTTTTTATTTGTGAAGTTGCAAAGATAAAAAAAAATCCCTGAAACTGGGTTTTATACTTTACTGTCTGTTCAGTGATCTGAATCTTCATGTTTCAGAAGACATCAGTAGCTTTCCTGATACCCTCAGGCACTTGCAAATCAATGGGAAAAGTTAAGAAGAAAGCATTTTTACTATAATTACTTTTGGAGAAATGTTTTCATTTTTCTAATTGACCTATTTTGTCAATATATATATTTTATATATATTTATATATATATTATATATATATAAAAACTCTAAAAATGTTCTGCTTATGAAAAAATAATCAAATGTGTTTATTTTCAAAGATTCTCTGGAAGCAAGTTAAAGAATGAGGTAAGTGCTGTGGTCTGTTTCCTTTTACTTCTGCTATAATTTAAATACTATGTGATCTGTGATATTCTTCACATTAATTTCTTTGAAAATTAAAACAATATTTTTCATTAAAGATCAGACTGTATAACCTTTTTGCATGAAGCTGAGTATTTGCTCCTCTAAATATCTGAAGGAAAATAAGATTGGAAGGCACCTTCTGGGGTTCCTGTTCCAATCCAGTTCCCCATAAGCACAGAGGTTCATAATGGTGTTGTGGTTTAGGGCTGGGCTGGACACTAACTCCTGGCCAAACGCTCTCTGTTAACCCATCTGCCCTCCCCAGAAGGGAAGAGAAAAGAGAAGGGAGAGAGACTTTACAGGTTGGGAAAGAAAACTAACAGGAAAATAATAAAATATATACAGACATGTACAAATATAGATACAAAACCAATATAAAATCCTCCCCC